AAATTATAATAATATTTCAGCAAATACATATTTTAAATTTATAACATCAGTAACCTTGACTTCCTCGAACCTGAACTTCAACTGCGTCCTAATACGGGCATTGCACGATGAACAGAGTTCGATGGACAGGCCATTGCTTTCTTCCTCTTCCTTGCTCTCTTCATCCTCATCCATGCTCTCTTCCTCCTCCTGCTCCTCCTTCCTCTCTTCCTCTCTTTCTCCTCTTTGATCTCCTTCTTTGATGCGCAACATCCGGCGCCATCCTGGGCAGCTATATGCACCTACAAAATTATAATAATATTTCAGCAAATACATATTTTAAATTTATAACATCAGTAACCTTGACTTCCTCGAACCTGAACTTCAACTGCTTCCTTATACGGGCATTGCACGATCAACAAGCCATTGCTTTCTTCCTCTTCTTTGCTCTCTTCTTCCTCTTCCTCCTTGCTCTCTTCCTCTTTCTCCTTTTTGATCTCCTTCTTTGATGCGTTACATCCGGTGCCATCCTCGGCAGCTTTAGGCTCCTACAAAATTATAAAAACATTTCAGCAAATACATATTTTAAATTTATAACATCAGTAACCTCGACTTCCTCGAACCTGAACTTCAACTGCTTCCTTATACGGGCATTGCACGATCAACAGATTTCGATGGACATGCCATTGCTTTCTACCTCTTCCTTTCTCTTTTCATCCTCATCCACGCTCTCTTCTTCCTCTTCCCCCTCCTTGCTCTCTTCCTATTTCTCCTCTTTGATCTCCTTTTTTGATGCGCTACATCTGGCTATAGACTCCTACAAAATTATAATAATATTTTAGCATATACATATTTTAAATTTATTATATCAGTAACCATAACTTCCTAGAACCTAAACTTAAACAACTTCTGCATACGGGCATTGCATAATGAACATATTTTGGTGGACTTGCCATCGTTGGGCCAAATCTAAAATAAAAATCGAATTACATTTATTTAATCGCCTTTTTTTTTCTCAAATAATATTATATAACAGATCCATTATGGAACAAACACCGAGTTCTGTTCCGACGACTACGTCGTTAAGCGAATTATTCTGCGTATGATTATATTCGACATCTGCTGCTACACTATATGGATGTCTATACATCCAGTAAGAGATGTCTGAGAAGGTGCTAGCATTCAAAATATAAATAAATAATAACTTACCCAATGGCCGGACAACAATTCCATTGTCATCCAATATTTTTTTCCATCATTGGGTAAAATATTATCCAATATCTCGGTGAGATTCTCACTACGTTTGCAGAAACGGCACTCCATTTTAACTGTACCGACAATTTGATGCCAACTTAAATATGTGTCACTATTACCAACACAAAATATTTGAAATTTATTATTTTTTTTAATTAATTTTATATACAACTACTGTACATGTTGAATGGCGCAAACTAAGTAAGTAGTAGTCTACGTTGCACTTCAGTCATACGATCGTAAGATTAATTGTTGGAAAATATACCCTAGCTGAGCATGGTCCATGGCATAAGAATTTCAATCGTATGAGATTATACAATCCAATCTAATCATAAACTTTATTCTTATAGAAATATGATCCAACTTAAAACCACCCTTTTTTACTACAAAAATCGTTGCAGAAAGCATCAAAAAAGAATAGAAAGTTTTTAATTTAATTTAAGTTAGATGACAACTGGCAAGCTTTGGCCAAAAACGGTCAACTCAGAATCAAAGATATTCATTAAATTTAAATTACCATAACACATATGGCAACACAGTGTTATATCCTCGGATACTTCTAAAGTCGGGCAAGCGTCAATAGTCCCATGATTGTACGTTTTTGCTGTGCTACATTCGGCGACCGGCACAGGCTCCTACAAAATAATGTAATTTTAGAACATAAACATTCTTGAATTAGTCTGATTTATTACCTCTGGTTGTTTTAACTTGTTTATAGAAACAGCGTCGTTTTTCATATAAACCCTTAATGCAGACAAACAAGACTGACATATTTTTTGAGATATCAACAAAATAATAGATTTACTTTTCAATCTCAGCTTAATTCAGAGTATATACAAGTATTTAGGAAATAATCCAACATATGAATTAAATTACTGACCTCATCTCCTGTCACAATTTCGATGGTAGTTGTCAAGCACTTGCCAAGAATGGTCAACTCAGAATCGAAGATGTTCAGTAGTTTGGAAGTACTATAGCACATACGGCAAGTCATTTTTGTTATTCCGCCGTTTATTTCTGATGTTGGACATACGGCAACTTCCTCCGGAGCGATTGGCACCTATAAAATAACCTCATGGATATTAGAATGTACTGTAAATATAGAACTACAGACTTTGTAATATATAAAGAATAGATAAACGAACGTTTTTGTTTACGAATAATTTGATTCCTGAACATACAAACCAGGAAGATGACACGTTAGCACTATAAAGGTTTCGTATTCGATTATATTAAATTGTTGGACAACCTTTAGGAATGACACATTACAATACGCTTGTGATGACCTCTATGCTAGCTGGTAAATTATTGCCTTCTATTTCCTTCCACTCAACATCAAATATATCTGTAAAATCTTCACTACCATTGCAGACACGGCAAACCATTTTCTATAAGACTTTTTGTTAACAGTTCGCTATAAAATAGAATTTGATGCAAACTTAACTTTATGTTTACTATGACCAACACAAAATATTTCAAATTTAGTGTAATCTTTGAACTGTTGATTATTATAAAGGTGTATTAATATAATATTTTAATTATGCGTTAAATATCAACTATTATGCATGTTTCACTGCTTACACTAATTAAACTACTGAATTGCACTTCACTTATACTCCTACTTTAACATACCTTGCTTGACTACACGGACTATACACGATGTCCAACCCGTTCAACAAATGAAATTCGTTCTGTATAATATACAGATATTAATTAATACACTACGAACATTTTCGGAGAAAGATATTAAAGAAAAGTAATTTTTTATAAATAATTGTTTTACTAACAAACATTATTTTATAAATGTGTACAAAATGTGTATATTAAATATAGGATTTCAATAATAAACCCAGTCATACATAAGATACTGCTTGATTATATAGGAGAGGCGCCAAAAATTTTTAATAAATTAATTTTTATACCATAATATCTTCAAATAAATAAAACGTGTCTATATTATTTAATCTATTAAAACAATAAAAGGTAAGGGAGGCGCGAAAAAAATTTTTTTTCAGGGAGGCGTAGTAGCATAAAGTTTGGAAACCGCTGGTGTATAGTTATGATACAAGTAAGGAGTGCATGTTGATGTGCGTACATCTATCTTAGATGATACTATTATCTATATTGTTTGTGCATAGAGTACAAAAAAAGAGACGATTATAAATGAATGTTTGCTCTCGGCCGACGATTGATGCATGTTAATTGCGTGCGGGACTGAAAATCGCATCGCTATTAAACGAAGCGAATCAATAATACGATCGGACAGTCAAATTTATTTATTTACTATTTGGAATGCCAACTCTCTTGGTGCACTCCATCGCAAACTAATGAATTACACTTTCAAATTGACTTCTATTTTCGTTCCTTGGATTTTTCCTGTATTTATCATATATATAAATATTTTGTCTTCTATTTTACTTTTTTGTGAACGGTACGAATCTTGGTGATCTTGGCGAGAAGAACAAATGGAAGGATCTGTTTTGGCGGTTTGTATTTGTTTTAAGTTCTGGAAAGGCGTTGAATATTTAATGGGCGAAAGATTAAAGGGAATTTGAATGTTGCCGATGAAAAATACGCGACGCAAATAGAAGTGGCCCGGTATTGACATGGACCGGAAATATCGATGTCATATTTCACACTGTCCGGCATAAAAAGCGCGGCAACAGGAAACGGAAAACGAAAGAAGGGAAAAAAATATGCAGAGAGAGAGAGAGAAAAAAATATGAGAGGAAATAACGATGCGGCGCTTAATTTTCGATGTCGCCAGCAAGGATAAAAAAAACAAGGAGCGGCAACCCTGTTTTATTCAAGTTTCCTTTTGCAATTTTTTTTGCTTGCTTGCATGCATATTCCTTCTTTTCTCTCTCATTTTTTTTTTCATCCCCCAGTATATGATCCCGGGATGTCTGGATGAGTGGCCATAGTTATAGGGTGAGAGACTTTCATTACGACTTCATTTAGTTTTACCCTTTTTACCACCGACGTGCATATAGTACGCTTGTACATCGAGCAGGATTAACAAGGATACTTCCCCTCTCATCCTCAGAGAACTTTTATATTCCATTTCACTTTTGTTGTAGCCATTGTCCTTTTATATTTTTTATTCTTGCTCGAACACACAAATTCCTTCGAACTATCTTCAAGGGAATTTAATTAAGTCAACTTGAAATACGCTTTAACAAACTTTTATAAAATAAAAGTATACAAATATAATTTTAAATATTTGAAAAAAAAAATGTTGGGTGAAATTTTTTCTTTTAATAAATTTGAACAAAAGATGTTTTTTAAATTATATCAACAATTAAATCAATAATTATTACAATTGGCATAGGTTAATTTGTTAATTAATTTGTATTAATTCTTTACTAATGTTAAACAATAATTTTGAAGAAAAAACTATTGGTAGTGAAACTAATAATAGATGTTGGATGAATTGTGGAAATGTATAGATTGTGTGGATAAATTGTAGTTAGTGTATTCAGTTATGCGAGGTAATTTCGTTGAAAGCCATTTAAGAACAAAATGTTGAAGCTTCGGTGGAGCCGGTGACAACGGTCCATGCGGTTTCTATAGTGATAGTAATAAGCGAGGGTGAAGGATGATCACGACAATGGCTTTGGTTCATTGAATAGGTAGATACCAGCTAATGAACTAAAAATATTTTGGTTTGATTTAATTTCCGCATTATTAATGACACATTATTTGCGATAGTTTTTGTTGCTGGAATTCAATTAGTCCCCGTATACCATAGTTATAGTCATCGAGTGCAAACAAGGACAATGGCGATTTCGGTCAGCATTGTGGATAGTCGAGATTTGGTGGGACGGGGATTTCTGGAAGGTGTTATTCCAGGATGGGCTAGTGGTAGGTGCGATCCGGATGTAATTAGTTCCCGTCAAGTGCATTTGCCTCGTATCATTAATATTTGCGTTCGGCACAACCCCCGGCCGGCATTATTTAGTGATTCGGACAGAGAAACCATCCCCTATCTATGCTTTTGTTTCGCAAACATCAATGTACTAACAAACATTGCCCGACGTCAGGAATAATGAACATGTAATACATCTGTAAATATTAGTAATTAACTGGGTTAAGATCCGATCCGATCAAATCAAATGCCAGCCGCAATCAGCAACGGTTTACCAATATTATCACGACTCCATCCGTTATATATTACATCACTACAATAATCAACGAGATACGCGAACAATAGATTAGTTTACAAGTCTTAAATCCTTACATAAATACACGGTTTATTACTCATTCTATATTATTATATTTATTAAACTAACTCATTTTTTTATGTCTAATAAACAAAAAATTAACAACAAAAAAGAAACAATAAAAATATATTGAAAAAAAAACTAATATTTCTTATTTTATTTACATTCAAATTACATAGAAATTTTAATACTCGTATTGAACAAGATTTTAATTAATATAATTTGAAAAAAATTTAATGACATGAAAAAAAATCTCTTATGTAAACTTAAAACTTTTGTTTTAAGAATTTGTTTTATTTCTTATTCTACTTTTAAA